TCAGTATTTGGTGTTCTCAATATTCTTGAATTAGACGTTGATAAAGTATTACTTTTTCCTTGATTATTATGATCAAATCGACTATTTAAAGTGTCACGTACTGATTGTCTATCATAATTTTCTTTTGTATAATCTATTGTTCGATCACTAGTACTTCGTAATATGGAACGCTTTACAAATGTATCAGAATAAAATCTATTCGATGGTTCTCTCCATTGTACTGTTGATTGATCTGAATTTTCATTTCGAAATATTTCTTCTGATTTATTCGAATCTTGTAATATTGATTCTCGATCATTGAATTGAACATGTTGACGTAATAATTCCAAAAGTGCACGTTTATAATACCCTCCAACATTCATCTAATCACAAAAAAAGATTTTATACATATAACATAGATTAGTTTTCTTCAAACAAACTCGTATGTGTTCAACAAGTGAATGTGTTGCAATTCTATCATATTCAGTTTTTATTTGAGCCATATCAATTTCACATTGTGTAACTATTATACGATTTAAATCATCTTCATTTGTAGCTATACCCTATAAATATTGTTTAGTATAGAAGTTAATTATTTGTAAAAAGTTTTACTTTAAGAGATTTTCGTAATCCATAAGCAAAAAATCGTGCTTGATTACGAATAATTCGAACTAAAAATAAATTAAATAAATAAAAAATAAAGATATTATTTTGTTTCAAATACCGATTGACATAAGCGTATGATAAAGACTTCCTTCAATACGAAGTCTAATGGTTTGTTCAATATCAATATTACTAAATTTTTGATAAGCTGCAAATATGTGTTTCAATTGTAAATTACTTTAAGAATGAAAAAGAAAAAAACATTTTCTTTTATTAAAAATATGAAAATAAACCTGCGTGAGCATAAAAGTTGAATAAATGTTGAACCATCAACATGCCATTTTGCTCCTGTTTCATATAAATCACGACTATCTTTTAATATTTCATTATCATTAATATTGTTATCATTGGGACGATTTGATTGAAGTATTGCAAGATATATTCTTTTTGTAGATAGAGTTTCATGATCAGTTATATCTTGTTCAATTGTAGTGTGAAATACTAAAATAAATTATTTATATATTCGATAAAAAACAAAGAGAAGATCTTTTAACTTACAGTGTTTATAAGTATTTTTAACAGATTGAATATGTTTATTTGAACGACTGAAAAGTATTTCCACAAGAATATTTTCATCTATAGTTGGTCGTTTTAATATTCTTCGTAATTCAAAACAATCGTATTCAATCGATGATAATAATAATACTCTTAAAAATTTACTTAAACTACCACTTAGTATCTTTTCAAAATCATCACTAAGATTCTAAACGAAAAAAAAAAGAAATCTATAAGAAAAATTCGATTCTAATATTTTCTAATAAATACTCGATTATAAAGATGGTTATATCTATCTCGTATTTTTAAACGTTGATGAGTAATTCTATTACAAAATATTCTTATAATAGCTAATTCATCAATATTTGAATCATTTAATAATCGATGTAATTCTTTACAATCTAAATAGATACAGAAAAAGAGGATATAGTTTAATTTATATATAATTAATTTTCAAAAACCTTGATCAATATTGACATCACGACGGTTTGTCAATGTATTTCTGTCCTATAAATATATAAAATAAATAAAATAATTTTAAAATGGGAAGTAAAATACTTGGACTTCATCCGTTAGTTTAATAATAGATGAATACTTTGAACGTTGTGTAGGAGAAGTTGATCGAATAATAGTTGGTGGTGGTGCATGTGTTTGAGAAAGTTGTTCTTGTTTATTTTTGTCAGATGATAAATCTTGTAAGGATAATCGAAATAATGAATTTTGAATAGATGAACGAGGAGGTATCAACGATAGATGACTTTCATGAATTGTTGATCGTTTATTAGAATCATTTCGTACAGTTTGTTTTGCATGACGATTAAGTCGTTCTCTATAATTTTCAACTTTTTCTTTAAGTGTTTTTCGAGTACGTAATACTTCACCAAATTGTCGTTCACGTTCTTGTATTAATTGATTAAACATTGCTAAATTTCGTTGTCTATTAAATACTGATTGTTGATCATTATTTACTGTACGAATTTGTTTTTCTATTATTTCTATTTGATTAATTATTTCATTGCTACTTCCACGTATAGCAGCTATTTGTTTTAAAATATCTTTTTTATTAATTTGATGTTCTTCTAATTTTGTTTGATGTTCCTGTGTTACTTTTGGTACTGGACGAGTTTTATGTATTTGATAACGATATAATTCAAGTTCAAATTGTCGATGTAATTCTTCTCGATAAACTTCAATTTTTTGTTCATATTCATTACGCATACGTTGAACTTCTTGATTTAATTGACTCGAATAATATTTTGAAGGTTGTACACCTGCTATTTGAGATATATCAATGGCATTATGAACATCATGAAGAGTTATTGAATGAACATCTTCATTTGTTATTTTTTCACCTTCTAAAATTTCAAGTTCTGATTTTAATACTTGATGAGAAAATTTTTCTTCATCTAATTCATAACATAAACGATTTTTTCGTGCATGTAAATTTTGATTTTTTAATATATAAAAATTACTTTCATCTTCTAGATTATGAATTCGACGTTGAAGAAATTGTGATTCAACATTATTTTGTGCTATATCACGTTCAAAATCAAATAATTGTTTACTAAATGCATTTCGTTTTGTTAAGATTTGTTTATATTTTTCTTCACATGTATTTGTTTTTTCATCTGCTGTATTTAATTTTGTTTCTAATTTTGTTTTATGTTGTAATGTATCCTTTTTTAATTGTTTTGCACTATCCATTTCTGTTAGAAAAAGTTTTTCAATTGTTACACGATTATGATGAATATTTTTATCAAGCCATTCTATTTGTAATTCTTGTGCATGATTATGTGCTTCTAAAGTACAACATCTTAATATTGCATCACAGAGTATTTCAGTTAATTTTGATAATTCACGATGTTCATCAATAATACGTTCTCCATCAATACTATGTATTGCTGGTATTGTGGAAAATTTCGAACGTTGCACTAATGTTGCAAGACCATGATCTGTTGATGTCGCTGTAGTTGGTATACTTGAACCAACTTTTGACCATGCTACACCACGAAAAGGACCTTGAAAACTATTTGCAAGATTAGGTGTAATTACACGTGGTGCTATGTATTTAATAGTTGTTGTTGGATTATTTGATGATACCTTTGTATTTGGATTAAATCCAGTTAAGGTATATTTAGTATCAACAAATTTTACATTCGTCGCCATATTCATTTTTAGCCAAATAAACACATGTGTTCTATATATACACTCGAAATTCTTTGGTCTTATCAATAAAATGATAATAGTATAAACATACTTTTTTGCCTCAATTTTGGTTTTTAACATATTTACTTTAGATAACTTTATTTTTGTTTATATGTTGAAGTGTCTTTTTTCTTCTTTTTATTATATGATATTGAATTAATGATACCACAGTCGGTAAAGAATGTATTCTATTACATATATATGAATTTATCTACTAGCAAAATATATTACCACAAGTTAAAATTTATTTGGTTAAGAACAATAGACGCTTCTATGTAAACGAGATATCGAAATAGAATGATATGAGTTTTGTTAGAAACTAGTTTACAATACACATACGATTTGTTGTGTAAAAAAATAAGGCGAGTACTGTAACCTTTAAACTAGAGTATGAATCATCACAATTTCGTAGTTTAGAAGAGTTTATCTGTTTTATCTTTGATATTTCAAGAGCATATACTTTTATTTTTCATGAACAGGTTATGCGCAAAAGATCATCAGAGATAATTTATTACATTTTTTTTCATTGAATTTATTTGATGTTTTATGATAGAAATATTATATACGAAAAAAACAGAAGAAAAGTATTTAGCAGTAAATTATATAAATAATTGGTAGCAAATGTTGAAGCTGTGTTTGTATTTGAAGTGGAATTAATAATAAAACATTTATTTCCTACTGCACATGTAACATTTAAGCCTAAAAATTCACCATAAACTTTGGCTTGTATATCAGATAAAAGATCACAGTTTGGATAGATTTCTATGAAAGTGCTAGTAGTCATGTTCTTATTAAGTACAAGAATCTGATCATTACTAGACGAATATTGAGGCCACATTAAGTTAACATTATCATTCGGTTGATGTTTTGTAATCATATTTGTCCAATAACGGCGCATAGATGTAGCAAAAGGTATTTCATCGCATTCAAACATCATATTTCCATAAAATGAAGCGGCTAATGTTTGGAATAAATAAAAGACTTCAGCTATATGATATGCACCAGGCCATATAACTAAGTTTGGACTGATTAACCAAGATGGTTCTGGTATATGTGTAAATGTATACAAATATGTTGGTTGTTTATTCATATATCCAGCTATACGTCGAGTACTACACAGAAAAGCTTGTTGAGACATCAATGTTACAAAGGCTAGAGAATAGTTGCCATTGAATCGATCTGGAGTATATAATGTCTGGATTTCAGAATGATTAAAAGTTACAATTGGTAAAATACGAGTCAAGTAGTCTTCAGCACTGGTTGGCCCCTTAAAATATACGTCATACATAACACGTAATAGAAATTCATCATGATTTGCTCCTGTTAATACAGGTACTTGATTAGCTGTTCCAGACAAGAAAGCTTGAAGGGGATGAACAGGAATTTCAACTTCATCAACAATTACACTGAATGGGAAAGTGCCTCCAATCTTCTCTTGATCTTTGAAAGCTAGCGATGTGGACGGTGGAATCGACACATTGGCTATAGTAGCTATTAGCAAAGTACTATTGATAGTTCGCAAACAAGTTAATTGTTGAACTGTATCCGTCATATTACATCCAACAAGGGATGCAAGATTATTTGTTACCGAATAAGCGAATGATTTATCACGCATATAAGAAACAGTATCGCAAGATCCACTTTCTAATATACCAGCATGATATAAACCATTCGATAATGGTGATACCATATGAATACAAACTGATTGAGATCCTGCTGATTCACCCATAAGTGTAATTGAATTTTTATTACCTCCAAATTGTGCAATATTATCTTGAACCCATTTCATTGCCATACGTTGATCAGTAATACCTTGATTTGCTATAGGTTTACCGTTATCATTCAACAAAGTCGTTTGAGAAAAAAATCCCATAACACTCAAACGATAATTAAAACTAACCATTATGAATGAATTATTTTCTTGTATAGCGGCATTTGTCCAACTAAGTCCATCATAGATCGCCTGCGATGAACTTCCTTCTATAAATGCTCCGCCATGAATCCATAACATTACAGGATATCCCGATGAATTGGATGATGCAATACTAGGTGCCCATACATTTAGATATAAACAATCTTCATCGAATGGACCTGGCGTTGAACCGTCTCCTCGATCAACTTGCGGACATGATGAACTATAATAAGTTGCATTTCGTATTGTATTATTATAATTATTATTCATCGTATATGGTTGAGCCTTTGCCCATCGAAGTGTACCGATAGGTGGATTAGCATAAGGAATTCCAATCCAAACATTGGTTTGTCGAATAGTAAAACCAGCAAATGTACCGGATGTTGTCGAGACAACAGGTGAACCAACAGATTCATTAGCAAATATGTATGGACCACCATTTAATCCAAATACAGTTTTTATAAGTAAGATATAAAATATCCAAAATAGAAACATAGTATCTAACGAATAAATAAATGTCGTAATAGATAAACGTAAAGCCTCGAATAATATTATCTACGCAAATATAATAAATCTGATACGACAAAGAATGACATTAAGAAAAAATATTGTAGGTAAGTTGCAATATAAGATGCATAAAATTCAAGATGAAGAACAAGACAAAAAATATTCGCCTATATAGTTATTTATAGAAGAGAAAAGTAAAAAGATATCGAACTGTAATATACTTCGTACGATACGTATGGTTTTTAAATACATATCTGAAATATATTTAGTAGCTGATACATTACAAGAATTATTATAAACTGTAATAGAATGAATATTGTTTTTGCGATACTATCAAGCACTTTTTCTTAACGTATTATGACCATATCAGTACTCTGGTATTCGTGCTCTAATTAAACTTATATATATTCAATGGATGACTGATACTAAATAATCGATTTTTGTATTTTGTTATCATTTAGTAGATTAGTTTCAAAAACGAAATATACTACAAATTATATTAAAACCTTGTGTTTTACCTAAATAAAAATGAGTAACTGAATTTTATCGTTGTGAAAAAAGTGTTTTTTTTCTATATATGACTCATCCATTTTTTGTTATCTCATCTTTTTATCATCTATAATGTTCTATCAAAAATAAACATAAAATATATCACAATATGGTGACATGAGAAGATTTAAAATTCATAAAAACTCGGTTTTGTCTTACATAATTATTATATAGTATATTATCAATACCTTCGATTAATGTATCATATCGAAAGTCATAGTTACGAACTGAATTATGATTTACTGTTAGATCATATAAAAAGAGAATTTATAATGCATCAATAAATGATCTTTGACAAACAATTTCTGTTTTTTTTTAAACTCATTCTTTCAGGATTCAAGTGAAAAAGAGAGGTACATAAATCTACCTTTCATTGTATACTATATAATAACATAGTTGAGAAATCTTGCTGATAGTATTATAAGTAAGGCAAGCTACAATGTAATTCGTAATCTTTTTGTCTCTATTTACATTCTTGATATAATGGCCTGTTGTATATATAAAGTATTGAATTTTAATATTGTTCCTATTAATATACAAACATGAATGTTCAACGTCAATCTTAATTATAAGATCTTCATAGTTCTTGAAACTATTGATTTTTCACTATATCATAATTTATGAGCTTTATGTACTGTAAGTTAAATAAAAAGTTCATACTCATTTTCTTTTTTTTGAGAAGAAAAATGTTGAAAAAACAAACAAACAAACCATTCGAGTATGCTCGAATAAAAAAATGCGTTAACAAAACAAAAAATTCTTTTTTGAGTCAATGAACAAAACAATTTTCCTACAAAAGAACTGTTCTATTACTACTAGGAGAACACACATTCAAGCAGAGATAATTTTGTTGTATAGAGAAGATCAGTTAGATATATCATCAACAAAACGACATTGTGGAAGTGATTCAATGCTGAGATATTGTTTAGCTAAAGAAGAAAAATAAATGGTACATTGTATTCAAGTATAAAAAGCAAATTTATCTTACATTTTGGAAGTTTTTTAGCTGCACTATGTAATTTTTCTACAAAATTTGGGATACCTATGAAGACAAAAAAAGAGTAATTTCAATGTAGATGAAAGAATATAAAATATACCACTCTGAGCTAAATATGAGTAAGTTGATGTAGGCATAGATGCTTTTGCATCTTCATGATATGTCAATAAAAATTTCATTCCTTTCTAGCAAAAACAAAAATGAAACATTGATAATAAATTAAACAAAAAAAATATGATTTTATTTAAACTAACTTCATCGAGTTTATTTTTCGATTGAATAACCATTGATGATTCATATCTATTAACTCGTACACATTTCTTATCATCATGAACATCAGGATGATTGACTGAATGACATTTAATAACAATTTTGGGTGATGTATTTCTTGACATATCGAGACAATAACGTCTAACATATAGATAATCACGATTATTAAATGGAAATGGAAATTTTTGTACCCAATGAACTATATCACTTTGAGTATTTTCATGTGAATCAACTACAGATAAAGTTAATGCATGATCATCCCATTTCATTCGATAACCGAGATCCAACTAGTTAAAATATATATCTATCTATCTATAAGTCATTTATCTAGAAAAACTTACTTACTTGTACTTGAAAAAAAACTAATGCAGATATATCATTAAATGTACCAAAAACTAGAAGAAAAAAAACAAACGAGAATAGATAAATATGAAGACAATATATGTACTTTTATATGAATAAACTTGTAATTCATGATCATATTTACGAAAAAGCATTAAATGATCTTTTCGAAGAAGTTTTTCCCAACCGAATGATGTTAAAGTTTCATCAACTTGAGCATTGCTCATCTTAAGTAAATAATCATCCGAACTTGCTTCTTGTCTAAATTATAAATTAATAATTATAAATGCTATTGAACAATTTTTCTTATACTTACAATTCTTGATCACTAATTCCATCATGTTCCCATGAAAATACTGCTGCTGCTGCAGTTGTTAAAACACCAATAATTGATGAAGCTAATAGAGATGAATTTGCATGAGATTTATTTCGATAATCTTTCCATTGATTTTCTTCATGTTCTCTCCAATTATATTTATTAAATACGATCTTATCAATTTTTCGATTATTAATAAATAAAAGTGGACTAAACGAAAGAATAAATCGACGTCGTTTGCATTCATCACAAACTAATCTTAATGGCCATTTACTAATCGATGTCGAACATCGAACAAACCATTCAATCCACATCTATTTCTTTCTTTCTTTTTTTTATCTAGAAAAACCAATTACATAACTATCTTCATGTATTATATAGATGTATTGTTATATATAAAGAAAATAATTAAAATCTTTTAAAAAAAAACAGTAAGGAAAAAAAAAACAAAACTTGCACCAATGAATGATTCATACAGATATACAAAAAAACACACGAATTGCTTGTTTTCATTATTTCATTCATTCGTAAAAAGAGAATGACAAGAAAAAAATGTATCACGTATTATATTGAAAAGAAGAAAAAAGAAGAGAAATAAACACAGGACGGAAGAACAGAAAAAGTTCATAACAAAAGAATTCCCTTAAAATTTTATTTTCTCTTTTAATATTAAATCATATATTTCAGGTGTTAATCGTTCATAAATTTGTTTTTGTTGATTTAAATAATATATCGGTTCAGTTACTCGATTCAGATCATAACCATCTTCTTGGAGCACAGTTTTTTTTACTTTAAATGTACCTAAAAAGATCATAATAAAAAAATTAAACTAATCAGATTAATATCAATTAACCTGTTAATTCAATATGTTTTGTTAAACGAATAAAACATGGACGAGCATATGATGGTAATCCTTGTTTTTTAAGTTCATTTACTAATGTATTCATATTAATTGATGATGCTGATTCATCAAGAATAACAGCCATTCCTGCTTTTCCATCAGTTTCTATATATATACACATAAGGAATACTTTTAATTATATAAAATTAAAAACCTGGTATTGAAACTCCAAAAACAACAATATCATTTATTTTAAGAATATTCATAAGCATATTTTCAATTTCAACTGTTGATACATTTTCACCTTTCCAACGAAAAGTATCACCTGTTCGATCACAAAAATAAAAATACCCATATTTATCAGCTAACATAACATCACCTATTTTCAACAAAAAACAGTCATATAAAGAAATAGATTTTTTTTATTTTATTTTACCCGTATTAAAAGCTTGATCTCCTATTTTATAAATATTATCAATAATCTTACGATTTGTTCCCGATGGATTGTTAACATAACCATCAAATGCATTTAATAAACTTTTTTTAATCATACCCAATAATAAACCACGTTCCCCTGTTTTACATCGTACACATAAATTTGTTTTTTCATCACGTAATGGTTCCATTGTTTCTGGATCAAATCTTACAAGAACAGAGCCAAGTATACGAGGCAAAATTACTGAAAAAAATCCACAAGAACCTGGATGTGAATCAAGATTAACTAGAATACAAAAAAAAACAAATCATTCAGATTGTATATTTAATAATAGATTGTTTTCTTACAAAAATAAGCATTGCTTTCAGTAGCACCATAAAATTCATAGATTTGATTTATATTAAATCGGTTAACAAATGGCATCCATAAATTTTGTCGAAGTCCATTACCCGAACAAAAACGAATAGAATGTTTTTGATCATATTCACTAGGAGCTTGAGCTAATAAAAATCGACATAATTCACCGACATATGTAAATCCCTTGAAAAGAAAAATTCTTTGTTTTTTTCTTATTCAAATTATTCATTACTGTGCATTTATATTTAACACAATCTTTCCAAAAATTCGACGCTGAAAATTTTTTTCTTAATACTGTTGTACAACCACCTAGTAGACTAAAATCACAAAGAAATCGTTCTTTTCTGTTTATTTAATATTTATTTCAACACACCTGTATGTAATACAAACCCAACCACCTGTCAAATATAAAATGGATTAAATCTTTCTTTTTTTGTTTTGAAAAAAAAAGAACATACCAAGTGAATGATAAAGTGGTAAAGTATTGTACATAATATCATCAGATGTAACACCAGTAGCACAAAGAAAACCGAATGAACCAAGAAGAAACCTACAAAAATAAATTATTAAAATGTTTTATATTTTTTTAAATAAACCTTGAATGTTTAATAACTGCTGCTTTTGGTAATCCAGTTGTTCCTGATGTAAAAATATAAAAAACTGGATCTATAGAAAGAATACATATCGATGTCAATATTAAATAGTTTATTATTAGTTTATATATACGTTTTAAATCATATGGAAGAGATTTAGGTGGTTGAATTGAACATGATTCAAATTGTTCATATAATTGCACTGTTTCAAATGAAGATGATATTGAATTAGATTTTATTTTTAATGTCGGTTTTGAATCAAAAAGATAGACTTTTTTAATATCTAATTCTTTTAATTCCGATTCAATTTCTAATTGAAATAAAAATAAATTTAATAAATTTTAAATAAAAAATAAATCGATTTTACCTGAAAGAATTTGTTTCGATGTAATAATACATTTAGCATTAACTGTTTGAATTGAATGTAGTAATGGTTTAGCACGTAAATTTGTATTAATTAAAGCAGCTATACAACCAATTTTACTTAAACCAATCCATACACATGGATATTCAAGTGAATTTTCAAGTATAAGTGCAATAACATCACCACGTGTAAAACCTTCAGCAGTAAAAAAATTAGCCAATTGATTTGTTAAATCTTCAACCTTGATTTATAGAAAATAAACAATATAGACTTTTCTTTTGTTATTGATTGTTTTATATACGAACTTGTTGAAATGAAAGAGATTCCTCGTCAAGCATAAAACATTCTTTAGAATTGTAACGTTTGACATTTGCACGAAATATATGTATAAAATCTCGTTTTCGAAATACATTATATTTCATTAATACATGATGTTTAATAAGTTTATATAAACCGGTAAGATCACGTGGTATAGTTTTTAAAAGAATTGATAAAAATTCAAAAAACCATACAATAAAAGACCAAATTTGATCAAACATCTAAAATAATAACAACCAAGTTTATCTTTTTTCTTCTTTTTATGAGAAATATTGACTTAGATACTTAGTCAACAGATCATATAATATATTACTCATATAATTCTTATCTTCATATCTGAAAAAATTAACTGATATGCCGCTTGATTTCTCATATTGTTTACTGTAAAAAAAAAGAGAACCTAAGGCTTATATGAACTCTACAAGGATAAGTAGCCGTTAAGTAACATGGATTAGACGTACAAATATTTTTATAAACCATTAAACAAAGTAAAAGAACGAAATTAAAGAAAAAGAACACAAAAAAACCTTGCTCTATTACTACGTTTTATCGTCAGACGCACGTAAATTCTTTGTAAAAAAACGTCATACTGGTGAGATTTTTTTAATATCATTTCTACTTGAGAACTGCACAAATATATCTATAATACTATGATCATATCTAAGTTCGTACTCGGTATACTGAGAAAAAAAAAGAAAAATTCTTTATTCTTCAAAAAAACAAGAAAAAGAGCAAAAAAGAACGTACGAAACGTATGTTGATGATATATTCAGGGTCAAAGTACAACCACACAATTCGAACCTTTTTTTTAAAGTCGTAAAATACAGGCACAATGTGTGTTAATATGTTTACAGAGAAAAAACGAAAGAGACAGAGAGAAGAAAGAGAGAGAGAGAGAGAAGAAAAAAACAGAATGATGATAATAATAATAATAAGCAAAAGAGATAAGTTACACACAAAACATATAAAACACTGTTGTTAAGGTTTTATTTCTTCAATTAACAAACATAATCTCCAAAATCTCCTCGAAAATCAATATCAATACGACATATTGGACATCGTTTACTTTGAGTTAACCATCTATCAACACATTCAATATGAAATAGGTGCATACATGGTAAACGGCGTACATCATCATTATGATCAAATTCACATAAACATATAGTACATTTTTCATCAGTTAAAATCGTTCGTTTTTCATATTTATATGATAATGTTCGAGCATTAATATGTTCTTGATTTGCACCTATATTGCCACCATTATTTAAACCATTTAATTGCTCTTCCATACGTAATAATTCTTCCACAACATGTTCAGCACGTTCACTATTTAAAAATGGATGATGATGGTGATGATGATGATGACTACGTAGAAGAAGTGGATTACGAAATGGACGAAATAATAAAGGAGTTGATGGCCATTGATTATTTTGTGTTGTAGTATTTATTGCAACATGCATACTAGGATTATTTGTACCTAATGTCAAATTATATGTATTAGTTGATGATGTTGCCGTTGTTGCTGGTTGAATTGTTAAATGAGCATGAATATTATTATTTGTTGTTGTTGTTGCTGCTGTTGGATGTGTAAGAATAGCATGTAATTGTTGATTAGCAGTAAGTATTGTTGTGGTTGGTGATGAAATTGTTGGTGATGCTTGATGTTGAAATGAACTAAGACGTTGACGACGTAATTCAGATGTTAAGTATTGACGATATTGATGACGTAAATGAGCTGGATTATGATTATGATGATGATGATGAAAATGAAGATGTTGAACGGGTGGAGGTTGCGGTAGTGAAGCAAGAGCAACTAAAAATAGACGAAACAGAATTTTATTTTTAACCTAAAATAAATAATTATAAAAAAGAATATACCAGCACTGGCAGCAGCAGCAGCAAGAGCAACAGTTTGTTGAGTTGTTGCAGTTAATGTTGGTATAACGTTCGGTGTTTGATTAGGAGGATAAACAATAAAAGGCGATATAGATGTAGCTGAATTTGATCCATTTGACGGTGTCACTACTGTGGACGTATTAGGAGTACGATGAGAACATGAACATGAAGAATTAGTTGGAATTGGTGTAGGTAAAGGATGTCTTCGAGATGATAGAAGTTGTCGAGGATAGGTTGGAGGCACTGTTGGTGTTATCACCATTGTTTGTTGTTGTTGTTGTTGTTGCTGCTGCTGCTGTTGTTGTTGCTGTTGATGTTGATACTGTTGTTGATTAGAATAAAGTGTTGGATAATAAGTTATCGGTCTTGATTGTTGTTGATGATGAGTAGATCGAAAATGATTCGTATTTGTTGTTATATTTGACGGTAACAATGAATCTTGTTTTGTTTGATCAACAATGATACTATTACTATTCGATAATAATGATGTCGAAGGTCCTTGACTAAATAAAGTATTTGATGGATCTTCTTCATCATCATCATCGTCATCATCGTCGTCATCATCTTCTTCATCACTATCATCACTTGATTCAACACTTGCTGTCACTGTTGTTGTTGTTGTTGTTGTTTGTCGTCTTTGTGTATCCATTCCATTTGATTCATCATAAAGTGAAGCTGTAACAGCAGCAGCAATACATGCTGCAGCGGTAGCACGTGATGATGCCAAATCATTATTTGTTGTTGATGCTGATGATAAAAATCGTCGAGTAGAATTATTAAATGTATCATTATCATCATCATCTGATGAACATTCTTGAACTTGTAATTGACGAGAAGATACTATATAAAATAAATTTGTTAATCTAAGTATTTCTTCTTCTTATTATTATTATATATAATAATTTACCTGTTGTTGTTGTTTGTATTGGACGAAATCGTTTCGGTAAACTACGACCATCATTTATTGTTGAATTTGTTGATGAAAAATCGTATTCATTTGATATAGAACGTTTTTTTCGATTATTTGTTGACGTTGAAGATGTTACTGAATTTGATGCTGAGGAATTATTACATAAATTTTCATAATAATTACGAATGAGAGTATTACTATTTGATACAATTGACGAAGCAGTAGTTATAGTTGTTGACTGTTGATCATTTGTAGGTAAAGATGAAGGTATTGTTGGAGTAAATTTATCAAGTAGAGTTTTATAACGTGGTAAAGTTGTTGTTGTTGTTGAATTTGTCGTTGTAGACGATGATGAATTTGAGGATGAAGGTGAATCTAAACAAAAAATAAATCATATATAAATCTATATATTTATTTATTTATTTTTTATTTATTAATAAGAAAGAGAGAAAGAAAGAAAGAAATGAAATTCTTACCACTGTATGTGTGCGTAGTAACAGCATAAGGTGTTGGTGGTCGACCATTTCTTGATAAATCATTATTATTATGCGTAGTTCCATTAATAAGAAAATCATTTAATGTTGTAGGATTAACATTTTGTTGATGATGAATAAGAAGAGCAGCGGCTGCAGCAGCTGGTTCGACAGCAAGAAATTCGGCAAATGCAGCATTCATTGCTGATGCTACTTCTTCAGGACTAACAATCGACGATTGATGTTGTTGTACGGCACTCATACGTGGATATAAATATATATATGTATGTATATATGTACACGCACTTCGTTTTTGTTGTTTTTTTTTAGAGAAAAAAACAGGAAAAAAACTAATCTTAAATCTTTCAAAATAATTGATAAAATAATATTATATTCTTTGTGGCTTTTTCTCTTTATATTCTCTTGTCTTGTTTACAGCATTTACAAATCGACGACGAACGATTCACTCAATCCTTAGCCTTGTTGCTCGATTTTCTCGTCCAGTACAAAATATAACGACAACGTTCGCTTGCTTGGTTGCTTGCCCTCGTTACTATTGCTGCTTCTCCTTTTCTTTTTTTTT